CCCTGGCCACTTCGGCTATTTCCGGACATTTCCGGATATCTCCGACCATCTCCGGACACTCCCGGACATTTCCCGACTATTTCCGACCATTTCCGGACATTCCCGAGCCGCACTCACCTCATAAAGCTCCGGTTTATTCCCGGGCGCTGCCGTGAAGGAAGGAAAGGGTTAAAAAGCGGAAACACCGGGAATCCCATCCCGGGAATTCCGGGATGATCCCGGCGATCTCATCCCGGGAATTTCGGGATCGTTCCCCGCTCTCACCGCCCATCCCGGCCGGGCCCGCGATGCCGTGGAACATCCCCGGCTGAGCCTGGAGAGCTCTGGGCCCCCTCCTCGATCCCGATACCGATCCCGGTAATCCCGATAATCCCGACAATTCCGATGATCCCGGATCGGTCCTGGCGGCTCCGCGGCGCTTTCGCTTCTTTCCGTAAACACTCCCCCTTGTCCCTCCTATTCCGGCAAACCTCGGCATTCCATTGGCTCAATCACGCATCGGCTCTGGTTTTGTGCTCGCTGATTGGCTTTTGAAACTGTCGATCATACGGGTTGCCATGCGACGTCGCCATGTTTTCCCTCTCTATGGCGGCAAAGTATGAGGGGCTTCACTGCATCTTTCCCTTCCCACAATGCCTTTCTCTAATTTATCCCTCCCATTCCGACATTTCTCAGCATTCAATTGGCTCAGCCTTTGCCACATCTGTGTTTTCTCGTTGCTGATTGGCTCTTGGAGCTGTCAATCAGAGCTGTTGTCAAGGGACATCGCCTCGTTGATCCCGCCATGGCGGCGGCGCTCCTGTCACGGTGGCGGGCGAGACCCCGCGGGCGGCCATACCTGAGGTGGCTGCGGCCCCGTGTTTCTTTTCGTGGTCTAAATAAGCCGTGCCCGAATTGGGGCCGGTGTTTGGGGCCGTACGGCGTTTTCCCGTACAACTTCCTTTTTCCCTTAGCCCCACCCTTTCCGCCTTCATGCCCTCATCCTATTGGCGTATTCTCCAGTCATCCCTATATCCCCGGCGCTGATTGGCTGTTGCCTCCATCAATCTCCCCGTTGCTACGCAACACCACCAAAGGGCGGAGACGAAGGCGGACATGGCGGCGCCCATCAGCGAGCCCTCAGCGTCCGTGGCTCTGTCGGAGCTCACGGCGCTGCTCTTGCCGTCCTCCCCCGCCGCTCTCGAAGCAGCCGAGGCCGCCCTGGCCCTGTCGGGCAGCGACTCAGGCCGGGCGCTCCTCGCTGAACACCCCGCGGCCTTATCGGCCTTGTCCGCCATGGCAGCCTCGGCCTCGCGTGGAGCGCAGCCCGCCTTGGCCGCGCTGGTGAACGCATCCTCCGAGCCCGCCGCGCTGGAGCCGCTTCTCGCCGCTGTCCCTTCTCTTCTCCCGCTTCTCCCCAGCTCCGGAGCGGCCTGCGGGGTGCTGGCAAACCTGAGCCGGGACGCGGCGGCGGCGCCGCGGGTGCTGCGGGCGCTGGGTCCCGAAGCGGAGTCGCTGCTGCTGCGGGCGCTGAGCGCGGAGCGGCCGCCGGGGGAGCTCGGGGCGCTGCTCTGCAACCTCAGCCAGGCCCCCGAAGGCCGCCAGGTGCTGCTGGAGCCCTCAGGGTGAGCTGCAATCAAAAATGGGAATTTTATTTTATTTTATTTTATTTTGCAGCTGCTCTGCAATCTCAGCCAGGCCCCCGAGGGCCGCCAGGTGCTGCTGGAGCCCTCAGGGTGAGGTGGAATAAAAAATGGGAATTTTTATTTATTTTAATTTTTTAATGTTAAATTTCAGCTGCTCTGCAACCTCAGCCAGGCCCCCGAGGGCCGCCAGGTGCTGCTGGAGCCCTCAGAGTGAGGGAAAATCAAAACCGGGAATTTTTACTTTAATTTTTTTTTTTTTTTATTTTAAATTTCGGCCCCCGGCAGAGCTCGGGGCCCTGCTGGAACCTGAGGGGTGAGGGGGGATCAAATATGGGAATTTTTTATTTTTATTTTAATTTTTATTTTTATTTTAAATTTCGGCCCCCGGCGGAGCCCAGGGCGCTGCTGGAGCCTGAGGGGTGAGGGGGAATCAAAAATGGGAATTTTTATTTTTTATTTTTATTTTTATTTTAAATTTCGACCCCCGGTGGAGTTCAGGGCCCTGCTGGAGCCTGAGGGGTGAGGGAAAAATCAAAAATGGAAATTTTTATTTTAATTTTTATTTTTATTTTTATTTTAAATTTCGGTCCCCAGCGGAGCTCGGGGCGCTGCTGGAGCCTGAGGGGTGAGGGGGAATTTTTATTTTTAGTTTTGTTTTTATTTTATATTTTAAATTTCGGCCCCCGGCGGAGCTCGGGCCCTGCTGGAGCCTGAGGGGTGACAGAAAATTGGGAATAAAAAATGGGAATTTTTATTTGATATTTATAAAAATATTTTAAATTTCGGCCCCCAGCGGAGCTCGGGGCGCTGCTGGAGCCTGAGGGGTGAGGGGGGATCAAAAATGGGAATTTTTATTTTTATTTTAAATTTTGACCCCTGCCGGAGCTCGGGCCCTGCTGGAGCCTGAGGGGTGAGGGGGAATCAAAAATGGGAATTTTTATTTTAATTTTGTTTTTATTTTTATTTTAACTTTCGGCCCCTGTTGGTGTTCGGGCCCTGCTGGAGCCTGAGGGGTGAGAGGGAATCGAAAATGGGAATTTTTTTAATTTTATTTATTTAATTTTATTTTATTTGTTGGGAATTATTTTTATTTCTGAGAACCAAGGCTGGAATTGTGAATTTGGGGCGGTTTTTTGTGATTTTTTTATGATGTTTTTGGGTGAATTTTGCGATTTCTGTGGTCATTTTTGCCTTTTTTAAAAATTTTATTTATTTTATTTTATTTTATTTGTTGAGAATCATTTTTATTTCTGAGAACCAAGGCTTCAATTCTGAATTTGGGCTGGATTTTTTGTGATTTTTTTGGTGATTTTTGGGTGATTTTTTGGGTGAATTTTGCGATTTCTGTGGTAATTTTTGCCATTTTTTTGATTTTATTTCTTTAATTTTATTTTATTTGTTGGGAATCATTTTTATTTCTGAGAACCAAGGCTGGAATTGTAAATTTTTTGTGATTTTTTTGTGATTTTTTTGTGATTTTTTTGTGATTTTTGGGTGATTTTTGGGTGATTTTTTGGGTGATTTTTTGGGTGAATTTTGCGATTTTTGTGGTAATTTTTGCGATTTTTTTTATTTTATATATTTAATTTTATTTTATTTGATTTGTTGGGAATTATTTTTATTTCTGAGAACCAAGGCTGCAATTGTGATTTTTTTGTGATTTTTATGTGATTTTTTTGGTGAATTTTGCGATTTCTGTGGTAATTTTTGCCATTTTTTAAATTTTATTCATTTAATTTTATTTTATTTTTTGGGAATTATTTTTATTTCTGAGAACCAAGGCTGGAATTGTCATTTTGGGGTGGTTTTTTTGTGATTTTTTGGGTGATTTTTGTGTGAATTTTGCGATTTCTGTGGTCATTTTAGCGATTTTTTTTATTTTATTATTTAGTTTTATTTTATTTGTTGGGAATTATTTTTATTTCTGAGAACCAAGGCTGGAATTGTGATTTTGGGCTGGGTTTTTTATCATTTTTTTGTGAATTTTGTGATTTTTTTTGGTAAATTTTGCCTTTTTTTGAATTTTATTTATTTTATTTTATTTTATTTGTTGAGAATCATTTTTATTTCTGAGAACCAAGGCTGGAATTGTCATTTTGGGGTGGTTTTTTGTGATTTTTTGGTGATTTTTTTGGTGATTTTTGGGTGATTTTTTTGGTGATTTTTTGGGTGAATTTTGCGATTTCTGTGGTCATTTTTGCCATTTTTTAAATTTAATTTATTTTAATTTTATTTTATTTGTTGGGAATTATTTTTATTTCTGAGAACCAAGACCGGAATTGTGATTTTGGGGTGGTTTTTTGTGATTTTTTTGTGATTTTTTGGTGATTTTTTGGTGATTTTTTTGGTGATTTTTGGGTCATGTTTTGGGTGAATTTTGCGATTTCTGTGGTAATTTTTGCCATTTTTTAAAGTTTTATTAATTTAATTTAATTTTATTTATTGGGAATTATTTTAATTTTAAGAACCAAGACCGGAATTGTGATTTTGGGGTGGTTTTTTGTGATTTTTTTGTGATTTTTTTTGTGAATTTTTGGGTGAATTTTGCAATTTCTGTGGTAATTTTTGCCATTTTTTAAAATTTTATTTATTTAATTTTATTTTATTTGTTGGGAATTATTTTTAATTGTGATTTTGGGGTGGTTTTTTTGTCATTTTGGGGTTTTCCAGGCGGGTTCTGAGGCGGCTCCTGGCCCTGCTGCGCTGCCCGGACGTGGAGCTGAGGAGGGGAATTGTGGGGGCGATCAGGAACTGCTGCTTCCAGCACGGTAAAAACCGGGAATAGGGGAATTATGGGATATAGGGGATTTATGGGATTTATGGGATTTAAGGGATTTATGGGATGTATGGGATATGTGGGATATGGGATATATTGCATATATGGGATATGTGGGATATGGGAATGCAGCGCAGTGGAACTGCTGCTTCCAGCACGGTAAAACCGGGAATAGGGGAATTATGGGATGTATGGGATATAGGGGATTTATGGGATGTATGGGATATATGGGATGTGTGGGATATGGGATAAATGGGATATAGGGGGTTTAGGGGATTTATGGGATATGTGGGATGTATGGGATTTATGGGATCAATGGGATATATGGGATATGGGATATATGGGATATGTGGGATTTATGGGATGCATGGGATATGGGATATGTGGGATATATGGGATATAGGGGATGTATGGGATGTATGGGATATATGGGATTTATGGGATAAATGGGATAAATGGGATGTATGGGATAAATGGGATATATAGGATAAATGGGATATATAGGATAAATGGGATATATAGGATATGGAATATATGGGATATATGGGTTATATGGGATATGTGGGATATGGGATATATGGGATATCTGGGATTTATGGGATCAATGGGATATATGGGATGTATGGGATAAATGGGATGTATGGGATATATGGGATATATAGGATATGGGATATATGGGTTATATGGGATATGTGGGATATGGGATGTATGGGATATATGGGATATATGGGATATAGGGGATATAGGGGATGTATGGGATATATGAGATAAATGGGATATGTGGGATTTATGGGATAAAGGGGATATATGGGATATAGGGGATGTATGGGATTTATGGGATATATGGGATGTATGGGATAAATGGGATGTAAGGGATATATGGAATATATGGGATAAATGGGATATGTGGGATTTATGGGATTTATGGGATGTAGGGGATGTAGAGGATGTATGGGATGTATGGGATATGGGAATGGGGCACTGTGGAACTGCTGCTTCCAGCACGGTAAAACTGGGAATAGGGGAATTATGGGATGTATGGGATTTAGGGGATTTATGGGATTTAGGGATTTAGGGGATATAGGGGATGTGTGGGATTTATGGGATTTATGGGATTTATGGGATGTAGGGGATAAATGGGATGTATGGGATATGTGGGATATGGGAATGGAGCGTTGTGGAACTGCTGCTTCCAGCACGGTAAAAACTGGGAATAGGGGATTTAGGGATATAGGGAATATATGGGATATAGGGGATTTAGGGGATATATGGGATATAGGGATTTATGGGATCAATGGGATATGTGGGATATATGGGATGTATGGGATATGTGGGATATGGGAATGGAACGCTGAGGAATTGCTGCTTCCAGCACGGTAAAACTGGGAATAGGGGATTTAGGGATTTAGGAGATTTATGGGATTTATGGGATATGTGGGATATATGGGATGTGTGGGATATGTGGGATGTATGGGATAGATGCGATATATAGGATGTACGGGAGATATGGGATATGTGGGATATGGGATGTATGGGATATGTGGGATTTATGGGATCAGTGGGATATGTGGAATATATGGGATATGTGGGATTTATGGGATCAATGGGATATAGGGGATGTATGGGATATATGGGATAAATGGGATATGTGGGATTTATGGGATAAAGGGGATACATGGGATATAGCGGATGTATGGGATTTATGGGATATATGGGATGTATGGGATAAATGGGATGTAAGGGATATATGGAATATATGGGATTTATGGGATTTATGGGATGTAGGGGATGTATGGGATATATGGGATGTATGGGATATATGGGATGTATGGGATATGGGAATGCAGCACTGTGGAATTGCTGCTTCCAGCACGGTAAAAACTGGGAATAGGGGATTTAGGGATTTAGGGGATTTATGGGATTTATGGGATATAGAGGATGTATGGGATAAATGGGATGTATGGGATTTATGGGATCAATGGGATATATAGGATATGGGATATATGGGATTTAGGGGATGTATGGGATATGTGGAATTTATGGGATGTATGGGATTTATGGGATATAGGGGATTTATGGGATTTAGGGATTTAGGGGATTTATGGGATATGTGGGATTTATGGGGTCAGTGGGATATGTGGGATGTATGGGATTTATGGGATCAATGGGATATATGGGATATGGGATATATGGGATATGTGGGATTTATGGGATACATGGGATATGGGATATATGGGATATGGGATATGTGGGTATGGGATGTATGGGATTTATGGGATATCTGGGATTTATGGGATCAATTGCATGTATGGGATCAATGGGATGTATGGGAGATATGGGATGTATGGGATATATGGGATATGGGATGTATGGGATATGTGGGATTTATGGGATCAATGGGATATGTGGGATATATGGGATGTATGGGATGTATGGGATGTATGGGATATGGGAATGGAGCACCTTGGAATTGCTGCTTCCAGCACGGGAAAACCTGGGAATAGGGGATTTAGGGGATTTAGGGATTTAGGTGATTTAGGGGATTTAGGGGATGTGTGGAATAAATGGCATGTATGGGATATATGGGATATGGGATATATTGCATATATGGGATATGTGGGATATGGGAATGGGGCACTGTGGAACTGCTGCTTCCAGCACGGTAAAAACCGGGAATAGGGGATTTAGGGATTTAGGGGATTTATGGGATTTATGGGATTTAGGGGGTGTATGGGATATATGGGATGTATGGGATATGGGAATGGAACGCTGAGGAACTGCTGCTTCCAGCACGGTAAAACCTGGGAATAGGGGATTTATGGGATTTAGGGGATTTATGGGATATGTGGGATATAGGGGATGTATGGGATTTATGGGATGTATGGGATATGAGATAAATGGGATGTATGGGATGTATGGGATATGGGAATGGAGCGCTCAGGAACTGCTGCTTCCAGCATGGTAAAACCTGGGAATAGGGGATTTAGGGGATTTAGGGGATTTATGGGATATGTGGGATTTATAAGATAAATGGGATATATGGGATAAATGGGATGTATGGGATGTATAGGATATGTGGGATATGGGATATATGGGATATGTGGGATTTATGGGATAAATGGGATTTATGGGATACATGGGATATGGGATATATGGGATTTATGGGATCAATGGGATATGTGGGATATATGGGATATAGGGCATATATGGGATAAATGGGATAGGGGATAAATGGGATATGTGGGATGTGGGATATATGGGTTATATGGGATATGTGATATATGGTTTATGTGGGATATGGGATTTATGGGATTTATGGGATCAATGGGATATATGGGATATATGGGATGTATGGCATAAATGGGATATAGGGGATGTATGGGATAAATGGGATCAATGGGATTTAGGGGATATAGGGGATTGATGGGATGTATGGGATGTATGGGATATGGGAATGGAGCACTGTGGAACTGCTGCTTCCAGCATGGTAAAAACTGGGAATAGGGGGGATGGGATTGGGATTGGGAATGGGAATGGGAATGGGATTGGGATGGGAATGGGATTGGGATTGGGATATGGGATTGGGATAGGGATAAGATTGGGATTGGGGATGGGGATGGGATTGGGGATGGGATTGGGATCACAATATGGGATTGGGGTTGGGATCAGGATATGGGATTGGGATGGGGATGGGATTGGGAATAGGATTAGGAATGGGAATGGGATTGGGATTAGGAATGGAATTGGGACTGGGATTAGGAATGGAATTGGGACTGGGATTAGGAACAGGGATTGGGAATGGGATTAGGACCGGGATTGGGATTGGGATAGGGAATGGGAATGGGAATGGGATTAGGAACGGGACTGGGATTAGGAATGGGATTGGGATGGGAATAAGATTGTGATGGGAATGGGATTGGGAATAGGATTAGGAATGGGATTGGGATTGGGATTAGGAATGGAATTGGGACTTGGATTGGGATTGGAAATGGGAATGGGATTAGGACCAGGATTGGGATTGGGATAGGGACTGGGAATGGGATTAGGAACGGGACTGGGATTAGGACCGGGATTGGGATTGGGATAGGGACTGGGAATGGGATTGGGATTAGGAACAGGATTGGGATTAGGAACAGGGATTGGGAATGGGACTGGGATTGGGAATAGGATTAGGAATGGGATTGGGACTGGGAGTGGGAACGGGATTAGGAACGGGGATTGGGAATGGGATTAGGAATGGGACTGGGATTAGGATTGGGATTGGGAACAGGATTAGGAATGGGATTAGGAACAGGGACTGGGATTAGGATTAGGATTAGGAACGGGGATTGGGAACAGGGACTGGGATTAGGATTGGGATTAGGAACGGGGAGTGGGAATGGGATTAGGAACGGGGATTGGGAACAGGATTAGGAATGGGACTGGGATTAGGAATGGGATTAGGAATGGGACTGGGATTAGGATTAGGAACAGGGATTGGGAATGGGATTAGGAACGGGGATTGGGAACAGGATTGGGATTAGGAATGGCATCAGGATTAGGATTAGGACCAGGGACTGGGATTTCCTGCTGGAACGTGGTGCTGAGGTTCCCCAATCCCCAATGCAGAGAACCACGAGCGGCTGCTGAGGCCTGAGCTGGAGGCGCTGCCCAGGCTGCTGCTGCCCCTGGCTGGGAACATGGAGCTGGCTGAGCATGAGATGGAGCGTGAGTGACCGTTGGGAATTTGGGGATTTTGGGAATTTTTGGGAATATTTTTTTGGGATTTTATGGGAAATTTTTCAGATTTTTTTCGAAAATTTTTTTAGATTTTTTTTCGGAAATTTTTGGGGGTTTTTTGGAATTTTTGGGGGATTTTTTGGGGATTTTGGGGGGAAATTTTGAGAAAATTTTAGGGAATTTTTGGGGTTTTTTGGGGGGGGAATTTTGGGGAATTTTTGGGATTTTTTTTGGAATTTTTCCGGAAATTTTTGGGATTTTTTTGAATTTTTATTTTATATTCTTGGGGATTTTTTTTGATTTTTTGGGGATTTTTTTGGGAGTTTTTGGGATTTTTCGGGGATTTTTTGGGAATTTTCTTGGATTTTTTGGGAATTTTCTTGGATTTTTTTGGGGAATTTTTGGGTATTTTTAGGGGGGTTTTGTTTGAATTTTTGGGGCAAATTTTGAGAAAATTTTAGGGAATTTTGGGGTTTTTTTTGGGATTTTTTTTTGATTTTTTAGGATTTTTGGGGGATTTTGGGGAAATTTTTGGGGATTTTTTTCAGAAGTTTTTCAGAAGTTTTTGGGGTTTTTTTGGAATTTTTGGGGATTTTTTTGGATTTTTTGAGGATTTTTTTGGGAAATTTTGGGGAATTTTTGGATTTTTTGGGAATTTTATGGAGGGAATTTTGTGGGATTTTTGGGATTTTTTTGGAATTTTTTTTGGAAATTTTTGGGATTTTTTTTGAATTTTTATTTTATATTTTTGGGAATTTTTTGGATTTTTGGGGGATTTTTTCAGATTTTTTGGGGGGATTTTTTTGGAATTTTGGGAATTTTCTTGGATTTTTTGGGGCATTTTTTGGGGAATTTTTTGGATTTTTTTGGGATTTTTTTGGGGATTTTTAGCAAATTTTTTGGGAATTTTTTGGGGATTTTTTTGGAATTTTTTCGGAAATTTTTGGGATTTTGGGGGATTTTTTTTTAATTTTTATTTTATATTTTTGGGGATTTTTGGGGAATTTTTTTTTTGGGGGGAATTTTTTTGGGGATTTTATGGGAAGTTTTTGAGATTTTTTTTTGTATTTTTGGGAATGTTTTTTAATTTTTAGAAATATTTTGGGGGGATTTTTTGGGATTTTTTTGGGAAATTTTTGGGATTTTTGGGGGGTTTTTTGGAATTTTTTTTTTATTTTATGGGAAATTTTTCAGAATTTTTTTGAAATTTTTTTTTAGATTTTTTTCGGGATTTTTTGCGAATTTTTTGCGAATTTTTTTGGAATCTTTTGGGGGAATTTTTGGGTATTTTTAGGGATTTTTTTTAATTTTTGGGAATTTTGGGGGGATTTTTAAGGAATTTTTCCGGATTTTTTGGGATATTTTTGGGGATTTTTTGGGATTTTTTTTCAGAATTTTTCCGGATTTTTTGGATATTTTTTGGGGAATTTTTGGGAATTCTGCGGATTTTCTTGGGATTTTTTTTAATATTTTTTGGGAATTTTTGGGAATTTTTGGGGGGAAATTTTTGGGGGATTTTTCTTGGATTTTTTGGGGGAATTTTTGGGGGAAGTTTTGGGATTTTGGCGGGGGGGGGTTGGGATTTTTTGTTTTTTGGTTTTTTTTTTTTAATTTTTTGGGGATTTTTTTGGGATTTTTGGGAAACTTTTTGGGATTTTTGGGATTTTTTAAATTATTTTTGCCGGGATTTTTTGGGAGGTTTTGGGATTTTTTTTTTTTTGGGAATTTTTGGGGGAATTTTTTTGATTTTTGGAAATTTTTTAGGATTCTTTTTTATTTTTTGGGGGGAATTTTTTTTTAATTTTTGGGGAATTTTGGGGATTTTTTGGGGAATTTTTGGGGGTTTTTTTTGATTTTTAGGAATTTTCTGGGATTTTTGCGGAATTTTTGGGGGAATTTTTAGAAATTTTGGGCAGAATTTTTGGGATTTTTTTTGGGATTTTGGGGGGAAATTTTTGGGATTTTTTGGGGAATTTTTGGGAATTTTTTGGGATTTCTGGGGATTTTTTGGGGGGAATTTTTGCGGAATTTGTTGGTATTTTTGGGGAATTTTTGGGGATTTTTTTTTGGAATTTTTTCTTTTATTTTTGGGGATTTTTTGGGGAAATTTGGGGAATTTTTTGGGAAATTTTTCAGAATTTTTGGGGGAAATTTAGGATTTTTTTGGAAATTTTGATCATCTCCCAAAATATTTTATTTTATTTTATATTTTATTGTATTTTATATTTTATTATATTTTATTTTATTTTTTATTTTATTTTATATTTTATTTTATATTTTATTGTATTTTTTGATTTTATATTATATTTTATTTTATATTTGATTTTATATTTTATTTTATTTTATTTTATTTATCCCCCCCAGAGCTCCCTGTGGATCTGCAGTTCCACCCTCCCGAGCACCAGATTTGATTTGATTTTATTTTATTTTTTGTAATTAATTTAATTGTAATTTAATTTAGTTTTAATTTATTTTATTTTTTTTTGTATTTTATATTTGATTTTCTGTTTTATTCTAATTTTATTATATTTATTCCCCAGAGCTGCCCGTGGATCTGCAGTTCCTCCCTCCCGAGCACCAGATTTGATTTGATTTTATATTTGATTTTATATTTTGTTTTAGATTTTATTTTATATTTAATTTTATTATATTTTTATGTTTTATTATATTTTATATTTAATATATATTTTATATTTAATTTAATTCATATTTTCCCCTCAGAGCTGCCTGTGGACCTGCAGTTCCTCCCTCCCGAGCACCAGATTTGATTTTATATTTATTATATTTTAATATATTTTATTATATTTTATTTTCTTTTATTTTCTTTTATTTTCTTTTATTTTATTTTATTGTACTTCATTTTATTTGATTTTATATTTTATTTTATATTTTATTTTATATTTTAATTTATATTTTAATTTATATTTCATTTTAATTTTATTTATATTTATTTATCCCCCCAGAGCTGCCCGTGGACCTGCAGTTCCTCCCTCCCGAGCACCAGATTTGATTTGATTTGATTTGATTTGATTTGATTTGATTTTTATTTTATTATATTTATTTTATTTTTTTATTTTTTATTTTATTGTATTTTATATTTAATTTTATATTTTATTTTATATTCAATTTATATTTTATTCCCCCCAGAGCTGCCTGTGGACCTGCAGTTCCTCCCTCCCGAGCACCAGATTTGATTTTATATTTTATTATATTTTATATTTAATTTATATTTAATTTATATTTATATTTAATTTATATTTATATTTTATTTATATTTATATTTTATTTATATTTTATTTATCCCCCAGAGCTGCCCGTGGACCTGCAGTTCCTCCCTGCCGAGCACCAGATTTGATTTGATTTTATTTTATATTTTATTATATTTTTTTATATTTTAATTTATATTTTATTTTCTATTTATATTTATATTTTATTTATATTTTATTTATATTTAATTTATATTTTATCCCCCCAGAGCTCCCTGTGGATCTGCAGTTCCTCCCTCCCAAGCACCAGATTTGATTTGATTTTATTTGATTTTATTTTTATTTTATTATATTTATTTTATTTTATTTTATTTTATTTTATTTTATTTTATTTTATTTTATATTTAATTTTATTTATTTATTCCCCAGAGCTCCCTGTGGACCTGCAGTTCCTCCCTCCCGAGCACCAGATTTGATTTGATTTTACATTTGATTTTATATTTAATTTATATTTAATTTGATTTTATATTTGATTTTATATTTAATTTTACATTGTATTTTATATTTTATATTTAATTTATATTTTATATTTAATTTTAATTTATATTTATCCCCCCAGAGCTGCCTGTGGACCTGCAGTTCCTCCCTCCTGAGCACCAGATTTGATTTATATATTTTATTTTATTTTATTTTATTTTATTTTATTTTATTTTATTTTATTTTATTTTATATTTTATTTTTTTATATTTTTTATTTTTATTTTATTTTATTTTATTTCAATTTTTTTTTTATTGTATTTTATTTTATATTTTATTTTATTTTAATTTAATTTAATTTTTTTTAAATTTTAATTTTACTTTATTTAATTTAATTTTTTTTTTTTTTTACATTTTATTTTATTTTATTGCATTTTATTGTATTTTATATTTTATTTATATTTAATTTATATTTTATCCCCAGAGCTCCCCGTGGACCTGCAGTTCCTCCCTCCCGAGCACCAGATTTAATTTTATATTTTACTATATTTTATTTTATTTCATTTCATTTTATATTTTATTATTATCTTTTTTTTTTATTTTATATTTTATTTTATTGTATTTTATATTTAATTTTACATTTTATTTTCTATTTATATTTATATTTTATTTATATTTATATTTATCCTCCCAGAGCTCCCTGTGGATCTGCAGTTCCTCCCTCCCAAGCACCAGATTTGATTTGATTTGATTTGATTTGATTTTTATTTTATATTTATATTTAATTTATATTTATATTTATATTTTCTATTTTATATTTATATTTTATATTTTATTCCCCAGAGCTCCCTGTGGACCTGCAGTTCCTCCCTCCCGAGCACCAGATTTGATTTTATATTTTATTATATTTTATATTTAATTTATATTTGTATTTTATTTATATTTCTATTTTATTTACATTTATATTTTATTTATATTTTATGCCCCCAGAGCTGCCCGTGGATCTGCAGTTCCTCCCTGCCGAGCACCAGATTTGATTTTATATTTTATTTTATATTTAATTTATATTTAATTTATATTTATTTTTAATTTATATTTATATTTTATTTATATTTATATTTTATTTTATATTTAATTTTATTTTATTTATATTTTATATTTTATTCCCCAGAGCTCCCTGTGGACCTGCAGTTCCTCCCTCCTGAGCACCAGATTTGCTGTTTTTTTATTATATATTTTTTAATATTTTATTTTATTGTATTTTATATTTAATTTTACATTGTATTTTATTTTATATTTATATTTATATTTTATATTTTATTCCCCAGAGCTCCCCGTGGACCTGCAGTTCCTCCCTCCCGATCACCAGAGTGAGGAGGAGCCCGAGATCCGGACAATGCTGCTGGAAACGCTGCTGCTGGTGAGGGCAAATTGGGGTTCCCTGGGGAATTTTGGGGTTCCATGAGGAATTTTTGGGGTTCCTTGAAGAATTTTGGGGTTTTTTTGAGGAATTTTGGGGGTTCCAGGAAGAATTTTGGGGATTTTTTGAGGAATTTTGAGGTTTCTATGAGGAATTCTTGGAGGAATTTAAAGGTTCCATGAAGAATTTTGGGGTTCCCCGGGAATTTTTGGGGTTCCTTGAAGAATTTTGGGGTTTCCATGAAGGATTTTGGAGGTTCCATGAAGAATTTTGGGGTTTTTTTGAGGAATTTTGAGGTTTCTATGAGGAATTTTGGGGGTTCCTTGAGGAGATTTTGGGGGTTCCATGAGGACATTTGAGGTTTCTATGAGGAATTTTGGGGGTTCTATGAGGAGGTTTTGGGGTTCCCCAGGAATTTTTGGGGGTTCCTCGAGGAATTTTTGGGGTTTGTTTGAGGAATCTTTGAGATTCTTGGAGGAATTTTGGGGTTCCTTGAGGAATTTTGAGGATTCCCTGAGGAATTTTTGGGGTTCCTTGAGGAAATTTGGGGTTCCATGAAGAATTTTGGTGTTTTTTTGAGGAATTTTTGGGGTTCTATGAGGAATTTTGGGGGTTCTATGAGAAGGTTTTGGGGTTCCCCAGGAATTTTTGGGGTTCCCGGAAGAATTTTGGGTTTCTTTGAGGAATTTTGAGGGTTCCTTGAGGAATTTTGGGGGTTCCTTGAGGAATTCTTCGAGGAATTTAAAGGTTCTTTGAGGAATTTTGGGGTTTTTTTGAGGAATTTTGGGGGTTTCTTGATAAATTTTTGGGGGTTCCTTGAGGAATTTTGTGGGACCCTTGAGGAATTTTGGGGGTTCCATGAGGAATTTTGGGGTTTTTTTGAGAAATTTTGAGGTTTCTATGAGGATTTTTGGGGGTTGTATGAGGAGGTTTTGGGGTTTCCCTGAGGAATTTTTGGGGTTCTTTGAGGAATTTTGGGGGTTCCTTGAGGAATTTGGGGGTTTTTTTGAAGAATTTTTGGGGGTTCCATGAAGAATTTTGGGGTTTCTTTGAGGAATTTTGAGGTTTCTATGAGGAATCTTGGGGGTTCCTTGAGGAATTTTTGGGGTTTTTTTGAGGAATTCTGGGGGTTTTTTAAGGAATTTTGGGGTTGTTTTGGGGGTTCCTCGAGGAATTTTTGGGGTTTGTTTGAGGAATCTTTGATATTCTTGGAGGAATTTTGGGGTTCCTTGAGGAATTTTGAGGATTCCTTGAGGAATTTTTGGGGTTCCCTGAGGAAATTTTGGGGTTTCCATGAAGAATTTTGGGGTTTTTTTGAGGAATTTTGAGGTTTCTATGAGGAGGTTTTGGGGGTTCCTGAGGAATTTTTGGGGGTTCCTTGAGGAATTTTTGGGGGTTCCATGAAGAATTTTGGGGTTCCTTTAGGAATTTTGAGGTTTCTATGAGGAGGTTTTGGGGGTTCTATGAGGAATTTTGGGGTTTTTTTGAGGAATTTTGTGTTTCTTTGTGGAATTCTGGGGTTTTTTTGAGGAATTTTGAGGTTTCGATGAGGAATTTTTGGGGTTCTGTGAGGAGGTTTTGGGGGTTCCATGAAGAATTTTGGGGTTTCTTTGAGGAATTTTGAGGTTTCTATGAGGAATTTTGGGGGTTCCTTGAGGAATTTTTGGGGTTTTTTTGAGGAATTCTGGGGGTTTTTTAAGGAATTTTGGGGTTGTTTTGGGGGTTCCTCGAGGAATTTTTGGGGTTTGTTTGAGGAATCTTTGAGATTCTTGGAGGAATTTTGGGGTTCCTTGAGGAATTTTGGGGTTTCTATGAAGAATTTTGGGGTATTTTTGAAGAATTTTGAGGTTTCTATGAGGATTTTTGGGGGTTCTATGAGGAGGTTTTGGGGGTTCCTAAGGGATTTTGGGGTTCCTTGAGGAATTTTGGGGGTTCCATGAGGAATTTTGGGGTTCCTTGAGGAATTTTTGGGGTTCCAGGAAGAAATTTGGGGTTTCCATGAAGAATTTTGGGGTTTTTTTGAGAAATTTTGAGGTTTCTATGAGGATTTTTGGGGGTTCTATGAGAAGGTTTTGGGGCTTCCTTGAGGAATTTTGGGGTCCCTGAGGAATTTTTGGGGTTCCCCGAGGAAATTTTGGGGTTCCCAAGGAATTTTTGGGGGTTCTTTGAAGAATTTGGGGTTCCTTGAGGAATTTTTGGGGTTTCTTTGAGGAAACTTTGAAATACTTGGAGGAATTTTAAAGGTTCCATGAGGAATCTTGGGGTTCCTTGAGGAATTTTGGGTTTCTATGAGGAATTTTGGGGTTTTTTTGAGGAATTTTTGAGGTTTCTATGAGGAATTTTGGGGGTTCTATGAGGAGTTTTGGGGTTCCCCAGGAATTTTTGGGGGTTCACAGGAAGAATTTTGGGGGGTTTTTTGAGGAATTTTGGAGGTTCCATGAAGAATTTTGGGTTTCCATGAAGAATTTTGGTGTTCCATGAGGAATTTTGAGGTTTCTATGAGGAGGTTTTGGGGTTTTTTGAGGAATTTTGTGGGTCCCTTGAGGAATTTTGGGGTTCCATGAGGACATTTGAGGTTTCTATGAGGAATTTTGGGGTTCTATGAGGAGGTTTTGGGGTTCCATGAAGAATTTTGGGGTTTTTTGAGGAATTTTGGGGTTTCCATG